ACATTCTTGCACTCGCGTTTCTCATTGGAGACAGAGGTTCCGCTTCAATTATTTCTATTGTGGCTGGGTCCCTTCTTACCATGATCCAAGTTGAATCTTCTACCCCCACACACTGCTAACGCTACGCTTGTGGGCCGCAAAAAAGGGCCCACTACGCTGCGCTACAGCGCTTTTTAGTGGTTTTTGGCCGCATTTTCGCTAGAGGTTCCGTAGCGCAGTGTAGTGTAGCGAAAAAACGCTAACACTACACTTTTTTGATGAAAAAAGCACCGCTACGCTACACTTTTTGGGCCAAAAGCTCAGCGGCCCACCACTGATCAATGGGTCGTTCACACGGCAAACCAAACCTCACGACCAAGCAGAAAGCTTGCATCCCTGGCATGGTTGAAGGCGGGATGTCACACGGACAGGTCGCTATGAAGGTTGGCACCAGAAGAACCACCATCTCAGCCATCGTGGCACGGGCTGGAGCTTGCGGGACTGTTGAAACAGCTCCAAAGACCGGCCAACCTGGTTTGAATGGCAAGCAGGATCTCCTTCAGCTCCGACGGGCCCTCGCAAGCAATCCAAAGTCAACCCTTGAGGAGATCACCAATACCATGGCCACTCACGTATCAAGCTCAACCATCCAAAGACGTGCCCACAAGATTGGATACAACAGTCGGATTGTTGTGAAGAAGACATTCATAAACAATAAAAACAAGCAAAAACGACTTGATTTTGCTTCTCAGCACCTTGAGTGGACAATCGCCTACTGGTCCAAGGTTATATGGTCGGACGAATCTTCTTTTGAGACTGGAAAGAAGTCACAGCAGGTCAAAGTCTGGCGTCAAGTTGGCAAGAAAATGAAACTTGAGTGTCTTGAACCCACATTCCAAAGTGGACGGTCATTGACTTCAATCTGGGGCGCATTCTTTGGAACAACAAAGATTCCAATTGTTTTCCTTTGATCAGGTTGCACAAAAGCGGTAGACTACATTGACCAGGTGTACAGAGGACGACTTGTCAACACGCTAACCTCAATTGATCCCAACCATCAACTCCTGTTGATGGAGGACAACACCCGCTCACACACAGCCAAACTCACCAAAACTTTCCGCAATGACAATCACATCACCACCCTTGAATGGCCGCCCCAGTCACCAGATTTGAATCCAATTGAGAACCTGTGGAATATAATGAAGACTGCAATCAGCAAGAACTATCAACCCAAATGCCTTGACAAGATGAAGGAAGCAATCAAGCTTGGTTGGGATGACATCCCTGCTGATCACCTCAGGAATTTAGTTCAATCAATGCCCAATCAAATGCGCCTGGTTGAAGAGGCCTCTGGTGGTCCAATAAAATATTAATTTTTAATATTAATTTTTCATTTTTATATTTTTGATGATAATCATTATCTCCCGC